CACGATATACAGGTACTTTAGTTAAGATTCATATTTAATATAATTATATTATTTTTTTAATGTTTAAGTTCTTTTGAATTTTATACTTATTTTTATATTTTATGACATTTAAAACATTTTCAGTTAATGTCTTATTTGTTATTGATCAAATTTGATATGTGTGACATTACAAAAGATAGTTAATTTAGTTAAAACATTATAATTTTAATGGTCTATTAAATAGACTCTATTTTATTCTAATTTATTTACAAACCAAATGTCAAGTCTATAGATTTCCTATTTAACTAGATTTTTTATTAGAAATAAATCCAATAAATAACGATTAAAGTTGTGAATTGAAAAACAATTCAATATAAGAAAATGTATATAATTGTAATTTAGATGATTTGCATCAAATTCTGTTAAAACAATCTGAGGCCCGATTCAAGTCTGAGCGAGAATATGATGTAATGAGAGGTGAGAAGATGTGAAAGATTTGCGATCATTTCTAAACGTGATGTGAATTTCAATTTCAGAGGCATTGGAACAACAGGTGAGGAAAGAGATTGTCTATAGAGAGGAAATGGCAAAACAATTGCATTTAGTAAGAGGTAAGCATTAGGTGATGGCATGAAGTAATACAATGTGTGTTCCGTTTGTTCACAGATTCGTTTTGCCAACAGTTAGACCACAACTGGAAGAGTCTATCGGTTAACAACAAACTCAATGGTATTTACTATTGATGGCACTCTTTAGTAAAAATGTATATAAATTTTGTTTGGGTTTAAGAATCGGAAGGGAATCTGATGGGAATGTCGTGTCAAATGAAAGGCGAGTCTGAATTAGGACTGAAGTCATAATTATCATGACTCGCATTGAATATATTAAAGTTTAGTCTCTAATTGTTTCAATTGGTTTTCAGATTAAATTCTCATAACATTATTAATAAATAAATGCTTTTGTTTATAATTAAATAAAATATTAAGTAAATATAGAAATGAAAAGTCAATTCACATAATGTTTACAATAATCATTAAATTATACGGATTTATCGATTAGTCATTTATTGGATGTAATTTTATATTAATATTAAACTTAATTTCAATTAAATAACTTAATATTTTCTCAATTTAATGTATGAATTGAACGAATATTTGAGTTAATATTAATATTATTATTATTCACTATTGATTTTTATAAATAAATACATTAATGACTCCAAACTAAATAGAAAACAAAACATTTGTAAATTGTGTCCAATATTCTGTCATTTATTCTTTACTTTATTATTTATTAATATTATTATTATTCACTATTGATTTTTATAAATAAATACATTAATGACTCCAAACTAAATAGAAAACAAAACATTTGTAAATTGTGTCCAATATTCTGTCATTTATTCTTTACTTTATTATTACATCTAAAAATAACAATTCAAATCATTTTATAGTGAATCCAATTTAATGTTTAGATTATTATTATTGTTAATAAAAGATATTAAATCAATAAAAAAAACTTTCTGTTATTTTAATAAAATCATTTTAAAATCATTTTGTTTAATAGACTTATTTTGTTCAATATTTGAACATAAGTTACTGTATAACTTTAAAAGTAAACCAATAAATTCAATTAACCATCAACTTTAAGAACAATGTCTCCGTCTATATTTCATTCTAGAATGAACAGGTACAAATTTGAAATATATTTAAACACTATAATTTATTATATTAATTATATGAAAAATAAATGAAACAAATTAAGTATAAGTGATAATAAACTTTGGAATAACTTGTAAAGTACCTGTGGTATATTCTGTACAAGTATTAATTTTTAAGTAAGTATTAGATAATTATAATAGACCAACACCTGTACTAAATTAATGATTGAGGTTTAATGCATATCTTAAATTCATACATAATAAATTTGACTAATAATAAGCAAAAATATTGTGGCAAATTATGCTGTTTTAAGTGTGTCAGTGTCATCTCAATGTGACAGTAATTTCATGTTCTCAATAATTGGCGGTTCATATAATTCGTAATATTACTATATATTTAAAATTTAAATCAATAAAATATGACATACGTGTTTAACACTACAAGAGCTTAAGTTTCAAATATTGTCACAATAAACAAACTAGGTGATAATTATAATAAACGCATAAACATTTGATTAAATAATTTATTTATATTTATACGAAATAACAGTTTGAATCAATTTACAAGTTATTCGCACTTGTTAGACGTGCATAGAGTTTATACCGTACTTATTTTCATTATGCAGTTTATATTCAAATACAATTATAATTTTACAACAAAATTTACAAAGATTTCATTCAATAAATATAAATTCTGAATATTTTTATATCTTATAAAACAATTGCAGATCAGAGGCAACAATATGTTCACTCAAATGTTACGGTCAGAGAATGTGTGAACTAAGGATGCAAACGATGAATATATACAGGTTTATATACTGTATATATGGACTCAATTGATATTTTCAATTATATGGCAATTAGTTTTGAAAATATTTAGATTCAAACAAAACTAATAAATTATTAATAATAATGCAATCAATGAATAAAAGAAATAATTAAAAAAAAGTCAAATCATTTGGTTTTAATGTGAGCGGTGGTGGACTTGAGGGCAATGGTGTGGTCAGTGGTGTCATCGGAGTCATCGGACGAGTCGTCGTTCAAGAGGGCGTCGAGTTGAGTGCACTGGACGTTGATGAAGGTGTTGGTCGAGAACAAGGCGTCGTCTATCATCTGTTTGTTGATCTTCTCCTCCTTCTTGAACTTATTCCTCAAATCCAAACGACTTCTCTTCCCGCGAAAGAACAGGTCAGCCATGAGTGTGAAGTCAGTGCCGATAGTGTTGAGAGCGCTGTAGAAGCGGATGGTCTCGTGTTCGGTCCACCGAGGCTTCGATGAGCCCCTGGTTTTGCTCCGAAACGACGAGTAATTCGTGAAGGCAGAGGTCGTGCCGGCCCTCTCGATCACCGTCTTCTCGTCCCTGTCCTCACACTTCTTGCGCTTCACAATCACCGACTCCTCGTCCAGAATGAGGACTCCGTCGGCGCCCACTTTGACGCGCGGACCACCACTCGGCTCACTCTTCTCCGTCTCAATCGCCTCCTCCTTCTCCTCCTCTTTAGCCGTCTCTTCGGCCGACTGTTTGTCCGTCAGTTCAATGTCTTTGTCTCGCATTTCCTTCTGTTCGTCAGTCATCGGCGGGTTGTTATGAATCAGATCTTTCATTGTCATCACTGACCGGTCTTTTCTGTCATATTTTATTGACTTTCGCAACGCCTTTCGCTTCCGAGTCGTCGTCTCTTTCGCTGTTTTCGGCGTCTCTTTTGAAACACATTTTTTGTTTTCGCAATCCTTTGATTTGTCATCAGTTCCGCAATCAGTCGTCTCTTTGTCTTTCGTCACTTCTTTGTCATCAATGGTATCACCCATTGGTTGACTCACATCTGGTTTGAGTGCATCGATGGTGTCGTGTGTCATATGGACATCGAGTGAGTCATTCTCGTCCACCGTTTCCGCCACCTCTTCCTCTTCGGCCAAAACGGGTGTAATTCTAGTGGTCAGTGAAGTCAATGCCTTTGATATCTGCGGCAAAGTCTTCATCTGATCGCCGATCGGCACCTCTTTGAGCGGACTGTCGACGAGTGTCTTGGCGTCTGAATCGGCGGTCGGTTTGTCGGCCGTCGATGTCATGGATCGCGTCGACACCTTAGGCTTGATCTGCACCTTAGACCTCCTCGGCTTATACATCGCACCGGTATTGCACTCAATGGACACTCCAATCAAAACAAATGGCAATTCAATTGAAACGAAATTTCAATTTTAAATCAAACAACAAATCAGTTTCACTTCAACCCAAACATTACATCACTTGAGGGGTAGAGGTGTTGACGGCTCAATGCATGTCTTTTTTGATCGCATTTTCACTTCATTTCATAAGTTTTTACATTATATTCATTGGAAAGCTATTGAAATACTGTCCCATATTTGCATGTTTTGTTCAAAATAATCATTACAATGAGCTTATGTGGGGGTCTGTGGGGGTCTGTGGGGGGGGGGCCCGGTACAACCACCGGTCATAGCGCACCCGAATTAATTAAGTCATTGAATAATCTAGGCACATTAGGCATTGGGTGCAATAGACTGGGAGTAGATATCTAATTGTATGTGAATTGCATCAGGTTCAGTTTGTTACAGTGGCCAATAATTGTGTGCAATCACGTGTACTGTACTGTACAACAGGGGGTTTGGGTGTGAATTGTGAGCCCATATGAGCCCACACTGTGAGCCGTATGAAGAGTTGAAGGCATGGGTTGTAGTGAGAGTGGGGGTAAGCGTTGAGTCTATTGAATAACATTGCAGTCAATGAATGCATGAATGAATTGTGTGACTGAGTGGTGACCGCATGTGAGTAGAGGTGTGCGAGACTTGTGGTGCAGTCTATGAGTGGTGAGTGAGTGAAGCGGTGTTGTGTTGAGTGAATGCATTGACAATACATTGAAGCAGTCGTGCAGTCATACAGTCATACAGTCATACAGTCATACAGTCATAGGCTTAGTATTGAACACAAAGTAATGTAAAGCCAATCGTCTGAATGGCGTAAATGTTTGCGACGTTTAAGACATAAGACAATAGACGAAGACATCACTGCATTTGATCCAACAGACACTGCGGCACACGGAGTGAGTGGTTAGTGTGGGTCGGGTGTGGATTGCATAGTTGCGCTCATATGCTTGATTGTCTCTCATATATAGGATTGCATTGAAATTGATTGTCTCTTCGTGCGGAAAAAGACAGCAAAACTGAATTCAATTAAAGGTATCAATCGTTGCGAAGAGATGTCTCTCCCGAACGTGGAACCGCTTCCGAGCGAACTCCTCAGGGATGGTATCGTCGAAGTGCGCGGAGATAACGGGGCCTTCTATAAGGCATTCATTGTGGACGTCGACGACAACACCGCCGCTGAAGTGAACAACTGTTTGGACACCGAAGTGAACAGTTCTGCCACCACTTCGGCCACCAATTCGTGCGACACCTCGAAGATAACCCTCGCCTTTGAAAACGATTGGTTACCGCAACAGAAGTTCCCCATCAATAGGATCCGTTTGCCGCCGCCCTCTCAGTCCTCTCACTCTGCGTCGGCTAACAGTCCCACCAACGGATCCAATACTCCAGACTCGGTGGTCGGTACTGCCAACAACTCGACCGCATCGGTCATGTCGGAGAGACCGGCCATTATAACGGAGGGCATGGAGATAGAGGTGCTCTCGTGTACTAATGATGGCGAACAGTGCGGGTGGTGGAGGGCGCAGGTGAAGATGATTAAGGGTATGTCACCATCAATGACACCATCCATGACCCCATTGCCGCGTCACTCATCACATCCATTGCCCATTTCAGGTGACTTCCATGTGGTTGAGTACCAAAACGTGACCACAGCTGACGGCCAATCAGTGCAGAGCACACCCAACCATCAGACCTACAGTGAGATAGTGGCCAGTGATAGGATTCGGCCTAAAAATCCTCACCCATTACTCACTACTAATCCGTTTTATAAGTTTGAAATCAAAATCCCTGACGACATCCGAAGTATGAACACGAGTTGGCTTAAGAAGAGTGAGGCGCACAAGCAGTTCAAGCAATTCATCGGCGCTATTGTCGTCCGCTTTGATGAGCCCAACGGTGTCCTCATTTGCGTCGGATATGCGGCCCACGAGAAGACATACTTAGCCTCAATCACCCAAAAGAGGGCCCAAATGTTGAGTGAAATGCACTTCAGAAACATTAAGCAAAAGCTGGTTCTCCTGTCGCGTACTGAAGAGGCGGCCAAACAGTTGGAGTCAACGCGCGGTCCATTCGGATCGGGTTTCACGGGAACACATTATGGCGGCTCTTCCGGTCAGAACTATGTGGTCGAAGTGGTTGTGGCCGAACACCTCATGGGCTTAGCTATCGGCGCCCACGGCGTCAACATTCAAAACGCCCGCAAATTGGACGGCATTTCTGCCATCGATATCGAAGAGAATTCGTGTATCTTTCGGATCAAAGGCCAGTCACTGGAGGCGTGCCATAAGGCGAGGGCTATGTTGGAGTTCGCAGAGAAGGGCATTGAAGTGCCGCGAACTCTGGTCGGCAAAGCCATCGGTAAAAACGGGCGAATCATTCAGGAGATCGTCGACAAGTCAGGTGTGGTTCGCGTGAAGATCGAGGGCGACAACGAGAATGAGGCGCCGCGAGAACACGTGCCCTTCGTGTTCGTCGGCACCTCCGAGTCCATACAAAACGCCCAAATCCTTCTCGACTATCACTTAAACCATTTGCAAGAAGTGGAGAAATTGAGACAAGAGAAGCTCGAAATCGTCCACCAGTTGAGGACTATCCAACACCCGCCCTCTCACGGCTCCCACCCCTCGCCCTCCACTTCAATGATTATTCAGACACAACAACAACTGTTCGGAAGCACCAAAAACATCACAAACAGTTCGGTTCAGATTCACGACGAGTCCGACCATAAGTACGGCTCCGACAGAGTCCGGAGTGGATCTCAACGCGGAATCACAAGAACTGATAACACGACAGGAGTTAACTCTCGGACTATATCGGGACAGAGAGGCGGCGGTCGGGGCGCCAGTATATCTGGTTCAGCGCCGATGCGTCGATTCAATACGAACGCAATGGACAGACCCATGGATCGGGACAGGAGTGGACGGCCATCGCATGCACGCAATCCTCCGTTTGGTGGTAATAAGGGCCGTAACTTCAAAGAAGGAACGCCTGTCGACGACTCCATTCACAGGTCTTCGCATCGCACCGATAGTCAACAAAACTCACAAAAAGGCGATTCTTATGGCAAACCACAGAGAAGTCAACGCAACGATAGGAACGAACGGATGGATCGGCCGGAGAGGTCGGACCGGTTGGACAAAAGCGATAGGAATGAGAGAAACGAGAGGAACGACAGGAATGAGAGGAGCGGTGAACGCAATGACAAGTATTCTTCGGCCATCCGTTCGGCGAATCCACAGAAACCACAAACCAATGAACAAAACAGCTCTTCGACAGCGAAACAGTCGTCGCACTCGGAGTCGAAGCCATCGTTGAGTTCAGGCCAACAACTGGTGAACGGAAACGCATAACATATTTATAGCTAAACGGGATTTACGACAACAAAACCCATTCAACACTTAATTACTATTAACCTCTAGTTTTGTTTGTGTTTCTCATAATTTGCTTTACTTTATTTGAATTTGATTTTCAGTTATATTTCATTAATTGTTTATGACATCAAAAATTTTATTGAATGATAAAAGTCTTATATTAACACACATTTGAAAGAAATGAATATTTCGAATGGAATTGATCCCACAATTAGTTCATTTTGATTGACCTTAAGATTAGATTTTGAATTCCCGATCAAACCTTAATTTTTCTCAAATTGTTTTCAAACAAATATAATCGAAACAAAAGTAATTATTATTATTGTCTGAATTGAAAACTTAAACAAATCATAAAATCACAAAAACAATTGAATTGAATATTGCATTAAAACCAAACAATCGGAACTGAATTGATCTGGTTTTACGTAATGTAAACCAATAAACTATATGATAGTGTGCTATACTGTACGATGACATACACGGGCCGTGCACTCAGCCTCACCTCACAGTAAATGTCGGTTTCAATAGAAAAACGTCGCAAATATTGATTCAATATAAAGATGAGGTGAAAGAGTGGCGTTGAGTGCACCCGCCTTTCAATGATTTGATACCGTATTTGAAACTCTTTGTAACGGCATTAACGGCGTCTCAAACTTTGTTTTCTTATATTATTTGCAAATCAGCAATAAATCGAAAATTATTTAAATGTATAAAAATTTGAAAAATCCAATAAAAAATGTAAAATTTTTGAATCGATTCTCCTTTTTATTACAATTATGTTTCAATTTGTTTTGAGTTTGTATTTATGGCTATAATGAGTACAGATCTTTGTTATATTTAAATTTTAAACATGATTACATTGTATTACAAATGGTTTTAAGGCATTTTATAAATTCATAAAAGTCGTATCAAATAAGTTAATCTCATTTCGTTTTAACATGTTTTTTCATAAATTGTAATTTAATTGTTAGAATCATTTATAACAGTATTACACTATTGTATAAGCAATGACTTCAAGTACATTTGGATCTGGGTAAATCTATCACATAAATAACTGACAAATTGTCAGAGACAATGGCCGAGATATCGATTGACTATAATGAATACTTCTACAGTATATGAATAAACCATAAACTAGTTAATAACAAAAATTAAATTATAGATCTTATGGAAATGAAACTTTTATTAATAAACATCATCTGAAATCTGATATCAAATATAAGAATTGATTGACTCGTATATGATATGATATACAGTACAATGAATGGGGATTTATGTTTTTGTCTTAAGTTAATGAATATATAAAATAACTTTCAGTTATGTAATTATGAATAAATTGAGTAAAAATGTTTAAATATTATGAAAATATATTGTGATTGAATGAAAACTAAAAATAATGATGACTTTAAAATAATCAATTTGTTAAAGAGTTCGCTATTGAATGAAAAATATAATTTTTTAAATTATCAAAATATATAATAAAACTATTTATAAAATGATTTGTTAGACATGAATACAAATTGAATGAGAGGTACGGCATATAACTTATATGTTATGAAATCAACGGATAAGTTGTATATATGAGGAGTCGGGCAGTTCTCGGTCTATGAGCCGCAACTGTTGGCACACATCAGATATGGGAAGCCTGTCCTGTGGTCTCATTTGCCAACACGAGAGCATTAGTTTGTAGATATTGTCGGGACAGGCGTCCGGTTTGGTCAACAGTTTGCCTTCAGTGACGTGTTGTATGACTTCATGGTTGGACAACTCATACCAGGGCTGCTTCCCAAACGTCATGATCTCCCACAACACGACACCGAAACTCCAACAATCGCTATCTATTGTAAACTTTCGGTATATTACAGACTCCGGTGCCATCCATCTGATTGGCAAAAGGGTTTGTCGACCCACCTGTCCATTAAACAAACACTTTAATGATAAACTTATTAATTTACGAGTTTAAACAACTTTACTCTATAATAATCAGTTGAATAGACATCTCTAGACATTCCGAAGTCTCCGATTTTGGTGGTGAGACCGGAACCGACCAAACAGTTTCTTGTGGCCAAATCCCGGTGAACGAAGTGTTGTTCCGCGAGATATTGCATTCCGCACGCGATTTGCACCGAAAATGATAACAAATCGCTTTGAGTTAACGGACCGATGGATCTGTTGGTCGATTGGGACGAAACGGAAGAATCGATTGCTTTTAGGAGAAGACTGTCCGGTCCGTGATGTCGGAGAAAGTTATTGAGATCTCCGTATTCCATGTACTCGAATAACATCATCAATGGGTTGCCGTCCAGTGATATGCCGTAGAAGTTGACGATATTCTTGTGCACCAAATTCATCAACAATTCCGCCTCTCTTTCAAAGTCTTTCAGTGCTTCATCTGAGTCGATGTCTTTCAGTGTTTTAATGGCCACTAAAGTTGTCGGTTCGTCGGGTGTTATATAGTCTACTGTTCCTAAAAATACTGTACAACAAGAATATTATGTGAATTACGGAACAAATAAGTTGTGGAGAAAAAGCAATCATTTATAGACAAACCTCTTCCAAAGGCTCCCTCGCCTAACATCTGAATGAAACTAATCTTATCCTTTGCGATGTGTTTAATACCTTTAGGAAATTTCATATTAAAACTATATTTGAATGCAACATATATTTGAAAAGTATTCAAATACCAGAAGAGAGTAATCTTTCATTTTCGGCCAAATAGTTAGGATTTTCAACGAGTTTCGCCATATTTAGAGGTATTCTTTCGCTAACCCTTAAGTTATCGGCCCTTTCGTTACGAACCGAATGATTATTACCGCGAAAACAGAGATTATATAAAACTGAGGGACAGATAGACCAACAAAACGTTTGGCTTGAGTTGCCTCTACTTTGAGAAGAATTTGACTTCAATTTCTTCCAACTAATGAATAATATGAGAGTTATTATCGAAATGACAGCGAATGCCACGATTGTTGCCACCAATACAATAGGAAACTGTAATATATTTGAGATATTTATCATTTAAAATTATCAGTGCCATTTGAAAGAGATTTTATAAAATAACTCTATATCAAACTAGAATCACATTATTCCTAAAATAAAAATAATAATTTTAAAAATTAATATTTTGTTTACATTTAAATGGTTTAGAAAATTATTCAAACGTAAAGTCGAGGGTGATCATTGTTTGTATAATATTGCATTTAAAAAGTGATTTGAACAACGAAAGTAATTCTAAACATTACTGTTATATTTGGATAATCATATGAAAATATGGTACAACTAAGGTTGCATGGAGCGTAATTTATCGTAATTTACAGCGTAAAATTACGTAATTTTACGCGTAATTTACACAGCCAAAAATATTTTACGTAGCTTTCAATTACAGTAAAATTCTATTGAAGAAAAATAAATAATATTATTTGTAAATTTGTTAATAAACACGATTTGTTGAAAGAATATTTTCAAATCATTCAAGTATTTACACAAAAGACCACAATAAATTGCATAATAAACGTGTATAAAAATTAGTAACCTTTCGATCTCTATATGATAGTTCAAACTCTAATGATATATATTTCTAATTCTGATCAGGGACATGAGAGTAACATTGAAATTATAACTAATTATAACTTTGATTCTGTTATCGATTCCTTTGATATGTCATTTTTATAAATATTTTTGTTATTTTTTGCTTATTTTTGATAAATTACGCTAAAATGTAAAATTACGTAATATTACGTAAAATTGCGCGTAATTTTGCATTGTTAGGTACAACACATTTAACTATACAAGTATGTATTGAAAATAATTTTAGCCTAGAGAAAAAATTAAGGTTTATAGAAAAGTAAACATATAAAACAAATACTGTATTTATATAAGACTTTTTATTAATTTTTACAAATATTAAAATTAAAATTAAATTTTGAAGTAATAATTTATATATTTAATATACTGTAATATATATAATATGTAATATATAAAGTATACCATACAATTTAATTATATAAAAATTAAGAATGTGAATAAATGAAACCTTATCAAAAAATATATATTAAATCCTTAAATAACTGAATAAGTTATAATATTTTTTAGTTAACTGTGCTTTATTACTATTCGTGCCATTCTGAGAATTCATATAAAAACTCTAAATTTTATAACAATAAAAATCTAATATTAAATAGCTTTCATATAGTTATGTAGATTTAAATGTCAAAATATAAGAATATCACTGGAAATAATTGCAAATAAACGTGTGTAAACTGTATTCAGGGAACATGACTATAGACTTATAGTATAGAATCTACAGTATAGTATAGATACATTAAACAGGTTCTCTATAAGCAAAAGCTTATATTTAATTTGAATGATTGCAAGTGATATATTGAACTGGTTGATTCTTTAGGAACAATAAGATAATTGTATAAATTATAAATCTATAGCAAATAAAGTTTTCTAAGAATTAAATAAAATTCTTAATGTTTATATAGAGAAAAGCGGATTTATAATAATAATAAGAGTAGAGAACAAATAAAGAATATTTAAGAGCAAACAAACCATATGTTGATTAAAATTGTGATTAAATTATTTTATTTCACTTTTGTATCGATTTAATTAAAATATTATTTAATGTTCACTAAGATTACTATAACAAATAGACTTAATTCGTACAAAATGGTTATTTTTAAACAAATAATCTGTATAAAAATAATCAAAGTTGTATTTAACTTGAAAACAAATTTACTAGTACAGTGTATTGTAATATGAAATAAAATTAAAAAGTATTACAATACCTGTACAGTACTGTATTTAAACTTTAAATTAGCTTATAAAGCTTATATTTTAAAAATATAATTTATAAAAATAAATACCAAAACTTTTTGTGAACGCGTCGTCTCCTCTGGTTCTCCAGTGATTGTATCACTGATTGATGGGTGCGGAGGATGTGGCAATCCTTTGGGGAGTCGTGTCGGACGGATAAGTTGCTTGACGTCTATTATTGAATCAAATAATTAGGGAATATAGGGCACAAAAATCAATTTGCAAAAGTGGACAAACCCTTATGAAACTGGGCCTCAACTGATCGGTTAAACTGTCCCAAAGAGTTAACAGCTATTAGAGTATATAAGCCGTCGTTCACATGAGTCGCTCTCTGTATTTCCAGACAACCTTTTCATACAATAATATTTTATTATAATAAATGGTTATTAGAAATATAATTAATTTTTTGAATAACAATTTAAATAAATTTACCTTCGGTTTCATAATCATTTTTGACTTGATTAGCCATTTCGAGATCTCTGATAGTGTCGGACATATTTAAAGGTTGATTATTGAAATACCAGGATTTGGTGACGGGAGGCACTCCTGTAATGCGATATTTAATACACCAGAAAAATCTCCTCTCGATCTCCATATCCACGATATTTGGAGGCGCTTTTGGATCACAAATAATTTATTTTAAAATTTTATTACAATCAATAAAATTATGAAAAACAAAAATATAATTATGGAATAAATGTAAAGAACAAAAATCATTATTTTTTTAGAGATTATGAGATTAAATACTATTAAAGTTTAAGCCATAAAAATAGAGAATCCATCGATTATTTCTTTCGCTATACAATAGAAAAACTATTACAGAATATATGGCGAGAAGTGATTTGTTATTCTTTGCGATAGATTTTTGTACAAAAGAATAATTGATTAAATAAATTGGATATAAATCAAACACAAACAATACTTTGGGAAAGGCTTGTGTGAAGTCATAGACAACAGTCGATTGTTTAGTAATATTAAACTATCAGCAAATAAATTGTTTAACTATAAAGACAAATAAGGGTAAAAAGTGGATGAACATAGAAAACATTTTTGTCAAATAAATATATCAAAGTGTAGTCAGCGTTGTTCAAGTCATTTAAGTTTCAATCCATAAAATGCATTCCAACAGCAATGCGTGTCACTGTGAACAGCCATATGATAAAATATTGGTCATCCATGGGCTTTCACATGGACACAATATAGTTTGGTTATAAAATATCGTATAAGAGTCCAATACTCACTTAAACAACGTAACACTTAGTGTAATAAATTATAAGCCAAATATTCAATAACTTGTATTACAGCGTATAACAAATGGATATTAAACACATGGACAAATATAGTCCATTATTTCTTTTAATTTAATAAAAACAAAGATTTATAAAAATAAAAGAATAGAGAACCAATGTTTTCAAAATTAATGTTACTATGTTATAAATTGTACTGTATATAGCTATTTCTAAATTTAAATTTGTTTTATATGTTAGCTATTAAAATGTTATTAAGTTTCTAATGTGATAAAAGTGTAGCCCCAATAAAGCATGATTTATAGCTATATTACGACCTTATTTTCGTGAGAAAGTCTTATCAGTAAAAGACTTGTAATAATTTCAATACATTATATTTATTGACAATAAGTGAATTCATGCAACAAATCTGCAAACTTTGTTCACATTGTGTTGCGTACGGGTATTGATATGTATTGTTTGCAAATAGAGTAATAGAGTAAAGAATTGTCGGAATGGGAAGGGATGTGAAATAAAAATAGATTTCATACATAATATCCTGAGAAAAGTGGAGTCTCTGCTTTTGCCGACAATGTTTTCAGCGATGCACACGACATAGCCGTTGTCAGCCCCGTGAGCCTCGTTTAGATATAGTGTTTGACTGATTTTGGTAACATTGCGAACGTTCACTGGTTTCTTATTATCGAAATTGCTTTTATTTGAATGACTTTGCAATGGCTTTTCTATGACAACAGTTTGCGTCTGTTTTAGAGTCACATTAGACTGAAGTCCGGTTATATTCCAGGAGACCCTAAATACAGGGTTTAATGCAATGACAATCATTGACTTATTGTCCATTGAGTTCATAAATCATACTTTGGTGGCGGAGATCCATAGGCTGTGCACACCAGTACTCCCGACTCGTACTCATTGATCTCAATCTCATGCGGTTTGACCATCACTTCTGGCATATCTGTTATCAATTAAACAAATTATAAATATTATTTCAAATCATCTTTAAATGTCATCAACTGTTGTGTAAATAACTTCTAATCAATACAGTATATAATATTGACGCTCCGATCAAATTAAATATAATCATTATTATCATCGGTATATTAGCTAAAGTTAAACACTTTATTTGGAGATATTTGAGTAAACACTGGATAAGCGATATTAGTCTTAATAAAAATGCAATAATGTTATGATAATATTGATTATGACTATACAGTAGTGTATATTTAATATACTATATACTATATTATCCCACTAAAATTAATAAAACCCCTTATTTATTTCAAGCATCATTAGTATTTATTTTAACATAATTAGAGTATATTGTTAATTATAGTAAACATGTATATTTAAGTAAATATGATTTTTTATTTAATTTATGTTAATCAATGCTTAATAATGTTCAGTAATGTTCAGTAATCTATGCTAAACAAATATAAACTATGAAGGAATTAAAATGAGCAATGTAGTGTACAGTTTCAGCAATTATTACTGCAATGTCTTCATTTGCATGTTTGCTCATAATTAGATGAATACAACTAAGACTATAGTATTATTGCAAAACCACCACTAATTAAGTTGAGCTTTAAGTAATAATTATATAACCTAAATTGTCTAACAAAATAATCAAATTGCAAAACATGTGAAATTAAACACTAGAATAAAGATTCTTGTAGTTGGTATTGCTCCAAATCAGTTTATATAATATAACGGCAATATTAATTTGTATTTTAATCCCACATACTTCTAAGAATATTATCTAAATAAATTAATTATTGGCTAATTATATTACTAATTAGAAAGTTATTTTCATTGTTCTAAATAAATTCTTTGAGATTAAACAGTTTTTAATGATGTATTTGCTAATTATATTTTTTAATAATTGATTTCTTAATTAGAAAAAAATATAAGTAAAGAGTGAGTACTGACCGCATCCAGGAATCGAAACATTACTCAATCGCAAGGTTTTGTTGGATTTATCATCAAAACACGTTATGCTATCAGAAAGTGGTCCTAATATACCATTTGTCTTTGATATCTGTCTTTGAATCCATTTGGAGGAACAGTTGCACGAAAGAGGATTGTTTTCCAACTCTAACTCTAATTTACAAAAATATATCACAAATTAATTATTTGCTAATTATGTCCCACGAGGCTAAAAAATTGTCATAATTCTTCATTAATTATATATATTAAACAGCAGATATTTATTATATTTGCATAAATATTTACCAGTAAATAAAAATAAAACTAATTAATATTTTTGAAAATAATAGATACCATGTACAGTACAATATTATTATAAATTACAACAAGCATTATAATAGATTTTAAAAAATATTTTTAATTTTAGTTAAACGCACTAACTATCATCAAATTATCATATAATATTTAACTATTTCTAGATAAATATTAGGAAATTTTTATTCAAAATTTTAATAATTTATAAATGTATAGCTATTATAAGTAACAACTTATATTTTGTTAAAATAATTATGGAAATATTTAAATGACATTCCTTATCCTTATACTGTACTAGAAATATATAATCTAAAAATGTTTTGAATATATTGGTATTTTGTTAATGAATTTTCCTGAAGATTGTCTTCAAGACATGAATGATAACTTGGGATACAACAGATGTGTTGCGAAATATGTGAAATTCAATTAAAAATAGTCCATTTTATTATGACGTGAACGTTTGATATTCATAGCCTTTTTTGTCATAAAGTCGACTATTATATTAATATTTTTTTGCTCACGAATTGTTGTTGTTATGATTATGAATGTAAGCATTGAATTCATAAAAAATCAATTTTCAAAATGACTATCAGAGGAAACTTCCTCACAGAATATCACATTCATTATAACGCTGTAGACTTTGTTCTTAACTTCATTAATTTTGACATTGCTTTCAAATTATTATTTTATAAATAGTTTAAGATTAATATTTTAACATTTCAAATAGACGAACTAATTTAATAATCTTAATGTTTGTAATCATTTAATTAAATATAAATTATAAAGCTTAGAAAATAAAATGTTAACATATAGTAAATAATTGATAGAATATTTATTTTAAACAAAATGTTACTATTAATCTTAAACAATCCCTGAATTAAGATAATAAGAATAAATGATATTTAAACTTAAAAATTATTTATGAGTAAAAATGTTA